TATACAAATATTTTATAACTTATTTTGAATTCATTTATAGTTTTTTTTTTACTTTATTTTGAAAATGTTTTATAATTTTCAATTTTTTTCAAATTTATTTATATAACAATTTTCACATTGTTTTTTTATGTTACATTTTGCAAAGATATGAACAATCAAGCAGTTGAGATTTGCTATATATATCGCCCTATGCAAGTATCCTGTATGTATAACATTGATAATACACGTTTACAACTGTATATAAAGAGCTGGGTGAAGATATAGTTTTACTTTGCGACTAAATAAAAAACCATGGTACCTGCAATGTCAAAAGTTACTCATTTATATCATCCAGCGTGACTTACTTGTTTTGGTACAATTCACCACAAAAGTGTTCAATATATAGAAAAAAGCAAGGCATGAAAGCGTGTTATTTTTAAGATGCAGTCATGCGTCTTCGGTCAGTTTGGCCGAATCTCTCTCACGTTGGCTCTGGGTTTTCTGTATTGTTGCCCTGTGCACACAGATTTTCTTGCGTCATTTATCCCGGGGTGGGCGAGAGATCTTTTGTGTGCATGTGTTTTTTGTTTGGCTCATAGATAGAGAGGGGGGCGACCCGGAGCAGCACAGATGGTGGAAGCGAATCGGTCCGGTCCGGTCCGAGCAGCTAAACCTTCAGACTTTCCAGCCTGTTGCTCCGGCCCCGCAAAATAAATTAGACTTTAATTAAATTAGAGTCCAGCTACTGTGGCCGCCTCACAGCAAAAATTATTGAACATATCCACCCCCTTCCTGAAACACACCCACTCGGGCCGTCCTGGATCCGCACACAGACACAGGAGTTGTTTTACACATCGCTGAGTTTCTCCATTCACTGGCCTCTCAAAGCTGCTTCACTCTTTCACTCGTCTTTTGTTCGCTCTCGGCTGCTGCCCTTCTGTCCCTTTCTCTTCGCCACACCACCCCCTTTCGTCTTTCGCTCGCTTTCTCTTTCTTTCACTCTTTCTTTTTTTCTTGAGGCGTTGCACGGCTTCCCCAAAACCCTCATATCAGACTGGAAGAGTTTCATGAAAATAGTTCATGGACATAAAAGCAAACAACTTGCAAACGTGTATCCTCTTTTAAATGAGATCTCAACTTTGTCTCAAACATTTCTCATCAAATGTTTTGAACTGCTCTCTGAATACATTTTAAATCTCTATGGTCTTACAGTATTATATGAAACATTAGTGTCTGTTTTTTTATTTTTTACTTAGAAATATTAGGTAAAGAAGAGACTAAGTTGAGATGCACAACTGAGATCTCATCTCGTCAGCCATGAAAGAGCAACCTTTGAGCAATAAAATTGTCCTTTGGGGTCGCATATACTACCAGAAAAATAAATAAAAAATTAAAAAAAATAAAAATTGTCTTGCAAATTCCTTCCTAAGGGGAAAAAAACAGTTTTTGTTGAGATAAAAATTATTTATTTATAAATGAGTTAAACATTTAAATAAAATTGGGTAAGGTAAGTTCCCATTAGTATTCGATAACTAATGAGCAGTATATTTGTTACAGTATTTATTCATGTTAGCTCAGGTCCAATAATTAATATTAACAGATATGACTTTTAATCAACATTAACTAAATGCTTTAAGAGTATTTTTCATTGTTAGTTCACATTAACTAATGTACTTGACTAATGTTAACAAATTGAACCTTGTTGTAAAGTGTTACCAAAAAAAAATCACATATAGATTATCATTGGCTTTTGCAATCTAATTGAAAGGAAAATCTGAGCGTTTAAATCTATTGTTGGAGCTCAAACACTCGCGCCGGAGGTGTTCAGGTGATCTGCATGCAGAGGGCTGGTTATCTTCAGCACGGTTCATGTCTCCTCCCATTAGCCCTGACGACTCGAGCGCAGTGTGTAGGTTTACCTGCGGGGAGTCTGTCACCTCCACACACACACACACACACACACACACAGCGTCAGGGCCACAGGCTCGTCTCTGGGCTCATCTAGCGGACTGCTGTGAGGCCCTCAGGTTGGGCTTGTGTTGCAGCGAGAGAGAACCCCACCCTGGAGCACTTGGAGGTACTAAACTCCTCAGACTCGTGTGGATTATTGGATTCAATGAGGAAAAGAAAACAGGATACTTTGTTTCATTTTGTCTGCCTGTGTTTCTGGCTTCATTTTGAGGTCCTTCTGCAGTTGACATGAGAAACCATTGGATTTTAAACAGATTCTCCTGCTGATGAGGAATTGGAGAAGACTGGAGCTCTTTCTTTAGGGACAAAAGTACAGAATTTGTGGTTTGATGAGCACAGGTTTCATGACACATTTCCTTTTGAAACAGGAAGTTGAGGTGAGGGATATCAAAAGGCTCGCCACTTTTTATTTATGTAACTGATAGTTTAGTTCATACCAGATGCTATTGGGTGGAGAGCACACTGTAAAAAATGACCGTGAATTTAATGGTAAAAGACTGTAAAAATGCTACAGTAAAAACCTGTTAAATGGTTAACGGTAACCACACATTGCTACCACAGCTGCCGGTTTTTACCATAAATTTTACGGATTTTTTTTTTTTTTACAGTGGCAGTGTTATTTCAGTATCAATACACTATATTAGTTTTTGTTAATATTTTGAATTAGACTGTATTTGTATATTTTCTGTTGTCACTTCAATTTTAAAGTTTTAGTATATTTGTATGCCTTTTTTATCCGTTTTAGTTTATTTAGTTGAGTAGTTTAAGTTCAACTAAGTGAAAATGAGAAAGAGTTATGTATTTTTTATTAGTTTACTTCAGTCAACATTTTATTTCAAGTAACACTTTATTTATTTATTTTAGTGTTAGTTAACTATAAAAACCCCAAATTCATTTTACAGAGAATTTCTTTGAACAAAAATGTGGGTGATTTCGGATTATTTTTGTGCTGTTTTGCCAGCAGACAAAGACTCTTTTAAATGTGCTTTTTTCGTTAACAGTTAAGAGTGCAGATAGTTTGTCACACTTTTAACGTCTTTGAGTAAGTTCCTCTGGTTTGTAGTCGTCTAAGTGTATGTTTGCGTTGAGAAAGCGGGCATCGGAATCAATACCGTCTCGCGCAGCCCTGCGATTATCAGCCGCAGAAATGACAGGCCTGTCTGCGAGCGGTGCGTAGGTTAAGCCCAACATTAACGGTGACTGGGGCAATTAGGAATGTCATTTTAATTATCTGTGGCATCGGAGTGAGAGATGTTCCTTTTATTTGTTTGAAATCAAAAGCAGAGGAGCAGGTAGCATCAGCGCGAGAATGGCAGCCGTAATCGCCTTTGTTCCCTTTGACACTCGTAGAAGACGCCGACGAATAGAGAGTGTCATCAGAGGAGAACTTAGCCGGCAAGTAAACATTATCGTTTCTTTGTGTCTGCGCTCTGGAAGCACAAAAGACTGATTAGAGATGAGGTGAGGAATCACTGTAATGGCTGCCGTGACATTAGCAGGTTGGAATTATTGTGTTGAAGAGCACAATACCGGCGTGTGATAGGCTGTCTGTCAGCCAAACAATGCTCTCGCTCCGGAGTTTTTACTGCATCTGAAGTTCCACCCAACCCATCATTATTTATCGGCCTTTTCAAATCTTCCAGCAGCGAGTACAAAGTTGATGGATTTTGTTTTTAACTTCTCAAGATGTCATTTCTACTTTGTAGAAGCGCTGTCTCTCTCTTTCTGTCTCTCTCTTTCTCTCCTTCTGTCTTTCTTACCCATTTTCCGTAACCTGTTTATGAGCACATGGTTACTCATTTTGAGAACTTCTTTTATCATCCAAATGTCTTTGTGCCATCACAATCTGACGGTCAGAAGCTAATTAAATGTCCACTACCAGTAAAGATGTTTTTGAAAGAAGTCTCTACTGGCTGCATTTACTTGATCAAAAATACAATAAAAATAGTAAAATTGTAAAATATTATTTAAATTCCAAATAGCTGTTTTCTATGTGAATATGTTCTAAAATATAATTAATTTCTGTGATCAAAGCTGAATTTAAATAATACATTTAATATGCATTCTAATATGCTGATTTTCTGACAAAAAACATTATCAATGTTGAAAACAGTTGTGCTGCCCATTATTTTTATGGAAACCATGATGCATTTTATTTTTCAGGATGCACAGATGAATAGAAAGTTCAAAAGAACAGCATTTATTTTCAAATAGAAATATTTTGTAACATCATAAATGTATTTACTGTCACTTTTGATCATTTTAAAGCATCCTTGATGAATAAGGATGTTTCTGGTTTGTGAGCATGCAGTTAAAGTGGCCGATGCGACGCCCATACTTTCGCTCCAGAACCACCTTTTCTGTGGTCAAACTCGTGGAAGTGTTCCAGCACCAGCAGCCCGTCTAGAAATATTGTGTCCGGTCGCTGGGCGTGTGAAGGGTGTTTTGAATGTAAATGTGTTGAAGGTATATCTGGACCACACATCAAGTCTGAATGTCTCACTTATTCTTTTGGCTTTTCTATTCTTATTTCCTCCCTCCCTCTTTCTCTGTCTCCTTTCTTGGGTTCTTTCTCTCACGGAGAGCATTACTCAGTCTGAACTTGCCTAAACCCTTGTGGTCACACCTCTTGAAAAGGTTTTGTTTCCCCTGTCAATTGGTATTCAGCCCAGGTCACATACGCACACACATGCACCGTTTTCATTTTAATTTGCACCTGTTGTGCAGTTGTTCGGGAGGCAAGTGCAGACCAGTGGATTAGCCAAAGATTATGTTAGGAACAGATATGCCTAGTGTAATCTTTTTGTCCACAGGGGAATGTTAAGATAGACTGTGCTTTGTGTGTGTGTGCTGGCATACTCTCGCTCACCAAACTAAACAATGCACAGATGAAAATAAATATAAATCTACATGGCAGGCCTTCCTTTATTAAGTCATCCCAGATGAGTTTAATACTCATTCATAGTTTATGTATCACATACATGCACAAGCTCAGTGATAACTTAATAATCTGTAATATTGATCATCTGTTTGTATATGTGTTTTTTTGACAGTGTTGGACTATGAGAACGTTGTAGAAACCGGATCAGAGACAGAAGAAGAGGACAGACTTCTGGTGTCGGAGGAGGACGGCTTGCTCAACGGGGCGGGGAGTCCAGTCAGCCTCGTCAATCAAGAGTCTGTGGCTCCGCCCTCTCCGACCCTGGGTCACACACTGCTGAGGAAGACTGTGGATGATGAAGATGATATGAAGGACAGTGGAATAGAGAACGTATGGCACGAAAACGACTTGCTGAGTGCGTCAGTCGATGGTATCGGTGAGTTACGCCCACTTCCTTTATGAAAACACACCCCTTCTGTCAAAGACACACCCTCTTTTATCTTGGATGCACCCATCTTCACTAAGACACATCCTCTTTTCTCCTAGACATGCCCATATTCTCTTAGAAACACCCTTTCATCTCTTAGACACACCCGTCTTATCTTAGTCACACCCCCTCCTCTCTTAATAACTCGCATCTTCTCTTAGACACACCCTCTCTCCTCTTAGACACACTCTCTCTTATCTTAGACACACCCATATTTTCTTAGACACACCCTCTGTCATCTTAGACCCACCCCTCATATCATAGCCACACCCATCTTCTCGTAGACACACCCTCTCTTATCTTATACACACCCCTCATCCCTTAGTCACTCACACCTTCTCTTAGACACACACCCTCTCTCCCCTTAGACATACTCTCTCTTCTCTTAGACATGCCCATCGTATCTTAGACACACCCCGTCCTCTCTTAGTCATGCATATATTCTCTTAGATACACCCTCTGTCCTCTTAGACCCACTCCTCCTCTCGTAGCCACACCCATCTTTCCATAGACGCACCCTCTATTCTCTTAGACCCCCCCTTTCTCTTAGTTACACCTTCTCTTAGACACACCCTCTCTCCCCTTAGACACACCCTCTCTCCCCTTAGACATACTCTCTCTTCTCTTAGACATGCCCATCTTATCTTAGACACACCCCGTTCTCTCTTAGTCATGCATATCTTCTCTTAGACACACCCTCTGTCCTCTTACACCCACCCCTCCTTGTGTAGCCACGCCCATTACATATTAGACACACCCTCTCTTCCTTAGACACGCCCCTCTCCTCTGTATGTTGCCCCTGATATTTTGTTGAAGCCTGCTCTCACTTCCAGTGCAACTACAGCAGAACGCTTCCCTTTAATTATCACATAAGACCCGTTTCTGCCTGTAATTGTCGTAGGCGCATTCGGCCCAGTTTGCAGAGCATCATTGGTAATTGCAGTAATAGCAGAGCGTCGCGTGTCCTTGTAAACGCGGCTCCCGGTTTCCTCCTGCAAGCATCATTGGTGCGGGAGGCGCAGTCACAGACGCAGAGAGATAAATACTCTTAATGAGGGAGAGAGGTAATCATTAAGGGAGGCCAGGCTGCTGCTCAAGTCATTAAGAATCTTAAATGAAATTTTTATTTTTATGATAGCCATTTACATGTGTAATAAGAGTCAATGATTCTTAGAAGCGTATGACAGAAACATAGGAGTGTGAGAGCCCATGGAAGACAGACCATCTAAATGAGCACTTCTTCGCTATTCATTTCTGCTAATGAACTAGCTGTGCACAGAGCCGAGAGAAAGAGGGGGCGTTCGTTAGTCTAAAAATTTAATACGCCCCCAAAAAAAAGCCGGGGTAGTGGCATTAGGAATACTATGAAGTCTGATTTTCCTTCAGGAGAGCAGTCGGCTTCATCAAGCGTTTTTGGCTGTCTTTAGTCCAGGATTTCTCACACTTCTTTGAACTAAAGACCCCTTTCATGACCCCAACAGTTTGAGATGCCATAGAATATCACAGAAATGGGAATCGTGGCCACCCACTTTCATAAGCCCACATCCACTGTTACATATGAGAGTAAATTAAAACTGAATGTGGTCATTTCACAATTTTTTTTAACAATTATTTTATTTTAGATAACGTTTTATTTATTTTGATTTATTTTTAGTTAACAATGATAACCCTGCCCCACTCAACTACAGTCCTGTGTTTGCAATTAAGGTTCTTGTATATATTTGAATATTAAGTAAACAAGTTTTAAAGTATACTTTGATAGCCAGTGATATATTTGTTGTTATTATTTTCAACATGATGCCACAAATGCTGTTGATAGAGCTTAACTCATATTGAACCCGGAACATTCCTTTAATTTGATAAACCCTCTTGGAGCCGGAATGTCTGTGATTCCGCTGTGTTGCAATTCCATGATGTGTGGTGTGTGTGTGTGTGTGTGTTGTGATAAAAACCACGGCCATGTTTCTGCGCTGCTGGGGTGACGTTCATTAGCTCCGGAGAAAGACGCCAAAGTCTCTCTCTCTTTTTCTCTCTTTTGTGCGGTCTTTCCAAACTTGTGGGCACTTTCCTTCTGCGTCTCTGTGTTTTTTCGCGCGTTTGGTGCCGGAGTGTCTGCACTGGTACCTCAGCACATAGCTCTGTCCTGAGATAAGCCTAGCACGCTCTCCCTCGCTCTTTTCTTGTCTGTTTGCTCCGGTCAGTCAGATTGCTGCGTTGGTGTCATCCTTGACTCGCTCTCATCTCCCATAATGCCCTTCACTAGTGTGTGACATTGTTATCACTGACGGAGACTTTAAATAAATCACCTGCGTTCCTCCCCGCCCTTGTCTTTCTGTTTTTTCCATCTTTTCTTGTATTTCGGATCCTTCCAAGGACCTCAGAGAGTCAGGAGTTTCAGACGGGAGCCGTGTGTTTTCACAGAGCATGCTAACGGCCCGTACAGACGGGAATATTTTGAGAGTAAACCGAACGGATGGAGTGAAATCATCAGGAGGAATAGATTCAACACGGATCTCCTTCAGAGGCCTGTTTACTCACCCACCACCTCAAAACTGATTTATCAGCCTGAGACGAGAGCACAACTCCCTCGGCTCTCCAAACTGAGGAGGACTAGCTCACCTCCTACTGGAATATTTGCCCCCTGTCCCCCCGAAACACTGATAGTAAAACTGATAGAAACAAGAAGGAGAGAAAAAAGAAGAATCTAAACGGTGGATTCCAGTAAAAGCTCTGTGCAGCAGAATAATAAAAAAAAAAAAGATGTCGGGAAAGATCAAAAGAACTCGAAAAACTCTGAAAAGCTCAAGAAATAAAATTGAATGAATGCATAAATGTAAAAAGAATAATTGAAAAATAATATTGATATATATTACATTGTTATATAGTGATATATTATTATTATTATTATTATTATTATTATTGTAAATAATGAATAAAATAAATAATAAATAAAAACATTTAAATATATGTTATTTAAATATATAGCTTTTTAAAAATATTGCAATATAGTTCCACAGCAATTTTTTTTTTTTTTTTTTTTTTTTTTTGGAATAAATTAAAATATATACATTATAAACATAAATTTTAAGGTGTTAACACATTTAACACATTATATTTTATATTTTATGTTTTTACATATATTTTTAAAGTTTTATTTTATGAATGAATGCATTTTATCTAGCCATGCAATGTTTTTGATCCCCACAAACTCTATAAAAAGGTGCATTTATATTTATATATAAATAATATAAACAGTGCATTTATATTTATAGTACAGTATATATACAGTACCTTTATAAAACAAAATAATAAAATGTTGACATCCACTTTGTAGACAGTGATCACCAGAGAAAAGGTGATACACTTTCATCATATAAATCAATTGTATTCTTAATATATGTTCTCAGGTCCCTTGCAATAGCAGGTGAAGACCCTGGTAACTGATCTCAGAATGATGATGTTGATGCAGTGATGTGTTTCTGTGTTTGTGTTTCTCGTGATGTCAGTGGTTTAATTAGAGACTCAGTGTTTGGTTTGTGTGCTAGAGACACACGGAGCAGCAGCGGATCAGTGCACTGGAGATCAGAAGACTATCTGTCTCTCTCTCGCTCTGTTTGCTTGTTCAGGTGGATGGAACATTCTTGAGCTGATCTCTGAGTTTGCTCTCGCTTGTTTCCCAGCGCGCTCTGCTCTGTGTGTGCGTGTGATTGTTGTCAGTGTAAATAAGTGGGTCGTTTTGAGTCCTACATGAGATGCAGAACAAGATGTTTTCTGTCCAGATGCAGTGTGTCAGTGAGCTAATACTCTCCTCTCCTGTCTGTCTCTCGTTCACAGATGAGCTGAAGGGAGACTATGACACTATGGGGCCCGATGCCGCTTTAGAGCCGGTTGGGAACGGTACAGGTGAGTCATGTGAACATGTTGATTTGCTGCATTGAGATAGAGTGCATTAGTCTTGCCCACTTATTCAGCAGCCCTGGAAGTATTTTTCCCATTCATTTTTCCCATAGGGATTTTAAGAAGAAGTCTTTAAGCGTTATAAGGTTTTATTTGAAAGTCAAAGAAAATCAGACAAAAAGACAAGAATTTGTGCTTAATGGCTTTAGTGAGGGAAAGAACAACAGTCCAATGAAGCATTACGAATGGAATTAAAAGCGATTGAGAAATCTAAAACTATTCATTTAAAGTTGATTGAATCTGTAGAAAGAATATATTTTAAGTTGATTGCAAAATATGTATATATACAAATGTGACTCTGGAGCTCAAAGGTAGTCTTAAGTCGCTGGGGTATATTTGTAGCAATAGCCAAAAATACATTGTATGGGGCAAAATTATCAATTTTTCTTTTATGCCAAAAATCATTAGGATATTAAATAAAGATCATGTTCCATAAATATATTTTGTAAATTCCCTACTGTAAATATATCAAAACTTCAGTTTTGATTAGTAATATGCATTGCTAAGAACTTCATTTGGACAACTTTAAAGATGATTTTCTCAATATTTTGATTTTTTTGCACCCTCAGATTCCAGATTTTCAAATAGTTGCATCTCAGCCAAATATTGTCCTATCCTAACAAACCATACATCAATGGAAAGCTTATTTATTCAGCTTTCAGGTTATGTATAAATCTCAATTTTGAAAAATTGATGTGGTCCATGGTCACAAATATGTAAGTATTTTGAGAGCATAGGGAGACTCAATTACATCGTTCACGGTGCTTCATGCGAATGGTGCACTTTTCTCGCTGCAGCTCTCTGATTGGTGGAATTTTTGTACCGCCTCATGGGTAATGTAGTCTTTATTGTGCTATTAAACAAGGGCATTTTAAAAATGTTGAATTAATATGAACAGATGGGTTATAACGCAAGCATATATATCGTTGAATAACAACCTCAGAGCTCACAACAGGTCTGTCTTTAAAGGTTTATCAGTTATTGTTAGAAAAATCATTCTCATGCTCTATTAGCATGTCTGTGACGCAGCATTTAATGCAAACTGAAACATCTAACTTAAAAATGATTCCACTGCTGAGATTTACACAGCAGAAGCACATCAGCATTGTTCATATGAATCCACAATCATCCGAGTGATTCCTGCTCTCTGTTTGACATCATCACACACACAAGGGTTTGTTTTATGAGAACCCCCGTTATGCCGTGTTTGAGCTGTCATCGCTGATGTAGTTCAGGAGGAAGGATGTGTAGTTTTAATAAAGCTTTCTAATGTTAGACACACACTCCAGAGATAAACAGCCCACGATCCTCCTCTGCAGGGAGGGACGTTCTCGGCTCGAGCGTCAGGAGCGGAAGGAAAACATTAGGACGTCGACTTTAGAGCGCTTTCTTCTGCGAGCACGAGAACTTCCCCAAATCGCATTGCAGGCCAAAATCTAATTTGTGCGCAAACTCGATTTGTTTAGATCATGTAAGCCACAAAACCCACAGCAGCGAGGAGCTAAACGTGTTCATTTGTCGGGCCGCGGCGCTCACGCGTGTTCACGTGAATGATAGCGAGGCAGGTCTAGTAATGAAAGAGGAGGGAAATCATTTGCTCTGTTAAATAATGTTAAAGGGCTGCTGGCTCTCTGACATTTTCAAGACATTTTTGACAGCGACACAGCCCAGCGGCTCGACCTTTGCACAAATGAGACGATAAAATGTTTACTGTCAGACAAACCTCAGTGCAGAGTTTATACCTTACACAAGCTCGTCCTAATTAAAAGGTAGCTGATAAAACTCAAGCCGAACAAGCGTTGTCTCTCTGCTGTAATATTTAACTTGTCTGACGAATGGGTGAGAGCTATTTATTCTCCGTTAGATAATATTATGTTACATAATAACATAAAACACCTTCGGTTCGAGTATGGAGCTATAAAGTGAATGTGGAGCAGCTCAATTATTTGATGAGATTCACACTGAGATCTCCAACTTTTGATTGCTGACTTTGATATCTTGGCAAATCTGAGCACATTGTTTGAGATCTCTTCTGAACCTTTAGAAGAGACACAAGAGATTACCGGAGTGTTTATTCTCAGGAGAAACTCTTTATTCAGTGTCACTGCTGTCTTTAAAGGGGTCATATGATGCGATTTCATTTTTTCCTTTCTCTTTAGAGTGTTTATGTTTCTTTAATATCTACAGAACAGAGGTGGCTAGTGGCTAAAACAATGCTATAACTGCAATTATCATATAAATAAGATGGACACAATTTAGTACATTTACTTTCAGCTTAATTTCATAATCTATTTATTTAAAATTCGCACAATATTTATATTATCCATTCCCAAAATGCTCAGTGGATATGGAAATTGACCACCTTTTTTTAAGTTATTGGCCGATGCCATCATCTTGAAATGGCTAAAGATCATCCTAATTATGTTAGCCTGGCTAACATATCTGTCTGTCACTAGTATGTTCCCACTGTAGGAGTGGAAAATAGTTTAAAACATGAATGTGTTATATTTCTTCCGTCACATAAAGCCCATGAGCAAAACTCAGCGAGTTGTGTGAGTTCGAACGCATCTACTGTGTGTGTTCATGCATTGGCGTGAGTGCGTGTATGGGTGGCAGTGCCAACTTTGACGGTGGCACACAGTGGAGCAGATTGTACAGATACCTCCTCGTACCATCCTGGGCACAGCGCCCATTCGCTGCCATTGATTTGCTGACCTTTTGGCCCGCTGCCCCTCTCTCTCTGCTGCAGACCTGCCACCTGGAACTGAGATTTTAAAGACATTTGATTTGTGATTTTTCTTTCTGTGGGCATTTCCATGATGATTTTCAATTGCCAAAAAACACATAGCCTCAGCCCTGTTGATACAATTCCCCCTCATTGTTAATGTAATTATCAGAATCCACCTAGTTAGGAGTTCGATTAGAGATCTAGGAAGTGATGTTGGGATTACAGCATACGTGTCTGCTCCTTATCTGACTGCCTCTAATACATTTAAAAGTAGAAAAAAGGGTTTATCGTTAAAAGCTTTTCCACAATTCCAATGGTTCCAGATTAACTCATATTTCTTATTTTAGTGGCCATTATGTGGCTAGATAAGGCAGTAATTTAGACGTATCCCTCCCAGAACGTTTCTCTAATGTTCCTACTTTCTTTTTATCACAGCTGCTGCCGCATGTTTCCGTCACCTTCCAGTGCACCATATTTTTCACATGCAAGCAAGAATCCAGCTTTTATTTAAACACACTCTCTCTCGCTCTCTCTGTGTGTGTGTGTTTCTAGTGAAGAGCGTTCACTGCGCTACTGAGTTTGAGGATTTCTTCGGGAAGCGTAAACTGGTGGACAGTGAAAGTCATGTGGTCAGCATTGCCGAATACCTCCAGAGAGGAGACACAGCCATCATCTACCCCGAGGCACCAGAGGAACTCTCCCGTTCCCGCCTCGCCACGCCCGAAGCCAACGGACACGAGGAGAACGGTGAGAATGCCAGGCAGCTGTTGCCGCCGTCTGATTGGCTGCATGCCGCAGTGTTTACCTTTAGAGCTGCGTGCAGCTGTCCGAGTGGTGAAATCATACACCCTAAATTTCCCGTCCTGAGGGGGGCAGCCGGGGCGCATTACCTCTCTTAAGAAGAACGTGTGAAAAATTAGATGTGCGAGCCACCAGAAGTGATTACAACAGAGAGAACACAACTGGCCCCCAAATGCCGTCAGCAATTGCTCTGTGTTCAGGTTTAAACCATGGTAAACAACTGCTTTTAGCCAGTTAGGGTTAGTAGCAGTTTATTCTGACACAATCCAAAGAAGTCCAGGCCAATTCTGTGGCTCCCAGACCCGGATTTAATATTGAACACCAAGTGGCGACCCATGTACAAAAACCATAATGTTACCGTAAGCTGCATAGAAATACAATTTTAATATAAGAATGTTTGGTAATACTTTACTTGATGCCTTAATGTGTAATGCATAGTAAGTTATAATGTATTATATCTTTTCAGTAATAATGGTAACCAAAATATTTTCAGATTTCTTGTTATAGTGCAATACATTGTTTTAATGCATTATACTTTCTAAAGGTGTAAAAAAAAATAGGTAAGAATTATAATGTATTCTGTCTGTGGTTATAATTATTCATGAGATCATACAATATATTATGAGGTCCATTATAAGGCATAATTAATGCACTGAAATGCTTTTATAATGCATTATATATATATATATATATATTCCTGCCCTCTGTGCAGCTACACGTTTGGTTACCGCACTCAGCTGGAGAGACATATGGCCACACACAAGCCAGGACGAGATCAGGTGAGCCACACTTCCTCTCTCGCTCTCTCTCTATCTAATGTGCTGTATTCCCTCGGAGAAAAGATATCATTTTGATTGGCAATCATTATTAATTTTTCATGGCATTTTGAAGATGCAGATCTTTTAATGGTTATAGCCTTAATTGAGGTCTAAATGTTTTTTTTGATGGCCTGCTCTGATATGATTCTGCAGTCTTATATTCACGATCGAATGACTATGCTAATTTCCAATTTAGATATTGTATCCGCTCTTTAGGTTTTCTTTTTTTATGTTCTTTAAAAATCAGTTTGTCTGCGGTGACAGAGTAACACATCATAATTTCCACATGCGTAAATGATAAACGTGAGCCGAGCACTCAGCGTTTTTTCTCTTAACAATCTGTCGCAGCATTATTTACACACATTATATGGGTTGTTGTGGCTGTCGTGTCAAATATAAGACACATTCCCCTGTATAAACAGGTAGATACACTGGGTCTCTACTGGCAAATAAAGCAGGTAAAAGCAAAGTGTCACGCTGATCTCTCTAGAGACTGAACCACTTAAAACTTATCGTTACGACTCAAAGCGCAATGTGACAGCAGAATTGCTGCTGTAATCATCTGAGATGAGGTACAGGAGCGCTTTTATCTCTCAGACATGACGTTGTGACTAGAACAGACTGATTTGATACACGACGAGCTGCCAACTTCTTCACCTGGTGCCACGGGCCGCTCGAAACATGAACAGATGGCCCATTCTGCACCCGTGACCTCTCTAATCCACAAATTACTTCCTATTTGTTGGTCTTTGTTTGTGCGCTTCATCTTGAAAGACTTTCCTGTTGAAAATTTGCTGTTGTCTGAAAATCCAGTGGCCATTGAAATCAGTCCATGATGTGCAGTAGAGCGCTCTACGTGTATAAGTGACTCCGGTTTACAGATACTTGCTAAGCCCAATAACATGCACATACCCAATCAAATGCCCCGCCCACATCATGCTTGACACACTTAGCGCAAGTGCATCACGCCGGGCGGAAAAATCCCTCTCCTCTCGCTGCTGCCAATCACAATTAGGCAGACGGAGTGACTGTATCACATCGAGGGTGATGGTGGGACCAAAACCTGCTTCCATCCTCAGAGGGATGGTGGGGGGCATAAAGCAGCTGTTGCTGTTTGTTTATGCGACTCTGCAACATATGAGCGAATGGTGGGGTCCCTCCCCGCCGTGGGCCGCCCGGCTCCCTGCTTGATGTTTGAAGGTTGCCGGTGTTTGAACAATCCTCCCTGTGTCCTGTGCTTTATGCCATCTGTCTCCAGCGGAATGCGGGCCTCTCTCTCTCCCCACCAGTTGTCGGAGCCGATCATGGGCGGCGCTCACAGGCCTTTTGTGTTCCTCTGCCCGTTCGACATACTCACCTCCCACTCTGAATTAATTGTGCTCGCCTGGTGCGCTCTCTGCTTCTCTGCACTGACGCCCGTATTGTTGTTGTCGTTATTATATTTTGATTTTCGAGGCTCTGCTTTGAATTGCAAATGCGAGGGGCGCAGCGCTCATGTTCTAACTTTGAACAGCAAATGAAGTGCCTGCCTACGAGCCGCATTCACGCATTATTAAAGAGACGTTTGAAGCCTTTAAACAGTCTACAAATTTGTGTTCAATTATGAAATTGCAACATTTATTCGAGCCCACCTTTTTGCATAATGAACTCTTTGCACAGGTATCTGAAGGATGTGTTGGTTAAATATGCGTGATTTATTTGGAACGATTATGCTAAATTAGATGAAGTGGATCATTTCTGCCTCCCTAAAGAGGAAAAAAGTCTTAAAAGCAGGATTCTTTTTGTTCTTTTTTTTTCGCTGCCAATGCAACGTTTCTGGCTCTAGATTCAGGAAATGAAAAGGTATGAGATGCTCTGTTATCGCTGCTCAAATGCACCCAACCAAAGCAAGAAGCCGCTTTACAACAGTGGCCATTTGGCCCGTCATGAAATTATTCACTGAAATCTTGCCTGTTGTGTGTTTGTGCAAGAGAAGCTCATGTGAATATTTTCTCATCCACAGCACCAGATACTCAACCAGGGTTCTGGCAACCGCAAGTTCAAATGCACTGAATGTGGCAAGGCCTTCAAATACAAACACCATCTAAAGGAGCACCTGCGGATACACAGTGGTACGTCCTTTTCTTTCTTTCTTCATAAGAATGTTCTTGATTCTGCATCAGAATGATTGGGTTCTTTCTTTGTCATCTCTTCATTAAAGAAATTGTATTAGATGAAAAGAGGGCGCACACTCATTACTTTGAAAGAAATGCAATCCGTGTCAATAAGAACATCTCTCGCTTCTTGATGTGATCAAATTCTTTGTCTGTCTTCACTGTAGGTGAGAAGCCATACGAATGTCCAAACTGTAAGAAGAGATTCTCGCACTCCGGGTCCTACAGTTCACACATAAGCAGTAAGAAATGCATCGGACTGATCGCCATCAATGGCAGGGTGAGAAACAACTTGAAGACGGGTTCATCTCCGACCTCTGCATCATCCTCCCCTACGAACACCGCCATTTCGCAGCTACGACACAAACTGGAGAATGGCAAACCCCTCAGTCTGCAAGACCAGTCCAACCACCTCAACATCAAATCTGAACCACTGGACTTCAACGACTATAAGCTGATGATGGCCTCTCATGGCTACGGTACAGGCAGCCTCTTCCTCAATGGTGGTGTGAGGGGAGGCAGCCCACTGGGCATTCATAACTCCCACAGTCCCCTTCAGCACCTGTGCATGGGGATGGAGGGGCAAATGCTGGGATACCCATCACTGGGAAACAACCTGAGCGAGGTACAGAGGGTCCTGCAGATCGTGGACAACACAGTTTGTCGACAAAAGATGGACTGCAAGCCAGAGGAGATCTCCAAGTTGAAGGCGTACATGAAGGAGTTGGGTTCCCACATAGAGGAACAGAAGCAAGCGCTCACCTCTACCGGTGGACCCCAGAACACGCTTCCTCTTATCAATCACAATGGTGCCACCAAGAGCATCATAGACTACACGCTTGAGAAGGTCAACGAAGCCAAAGCCTGCCTTCAGAGCTTGACTATGGACTCTAAGAGGCAAATTAGCAATATCAAAAAAGAGAAGGCAAATCATATGCTAGATATAGTTATAGAGGACAAAACGCACGAGAATAATAATCTAATGTTTACACCCTTCTCCTGTCAGTATTGCAAAGAGACCTTCCCTGGCCCCATTCCCCTGCACCAGCATGAGCGCTACCTTTGCAAGATGAATGAGGAAATCAAGGCCGTGCTTCAGCCCGCTCAGAATGCCTCAACCAACAAAACCGGCTTGTTTGCTGAGAAACACAGCCTCTTGCACCCCTCCGTCATCCCTGAGAAGGGCGTCAACGGCCCTTTCAGTCCCTACAAGGACCACATGTCAGTGCTGAAAGCTTATTTCGCCATGAACATGGAGCCCAACTCGGAAGAACTACTGAAAATTTCCATAGCGGTCGGCCTTCCACAAGAGTTCGTGAAAGAGTGGTTTGAGCAAAGGAAAGTCTTTCAGTACGCAAACTCCAGGACTCCTCCTTTAGACAGGAACCATGTGGACTCTGGTCATCCGGTCTCCGTTCACACGCCCATTAAAGACTCATTAGGCATCCGGTCTCCAATGTCCCTGGTCAAAGGTACTGACCGCATCACATCCCCCTCCATCCCCGAGCTCCATAACAACATTAACAACTGCGACACCCCATTCAGGCTCTCCAAAACCCTTCAGTTCTCCAACCACAAGCCGCTGGGGGATAAGCTGGACCACTCCAGAAGCAACACGCCATCTCCTCTAAACTTGTCGTCCGCCTCCTCCAAAAACTCCCACACTAGCTCTTACACACCCAACAGCTTCACCTCTGAGGACCTGCAGGCTGAACCTCTTGACCTCTCATTGCCAAAGCTCATGAAGGAGCCAAAGCACATCTTGACTGTGAAAAGCCGACCCAAGCTAAACAGCACCCCCACTGACCATAACCACGTCATGACGCCCCGGGAGCACGCAGACGAGCCACTAAACCTGGCTTATCTGTCCAAGAAGGAGTTTGGCAGCCCCAATGCAAACAGCAATCTGGACAAAAGCTCGAGCCCAATGTTTGGTCTGAACCCCTTCGCTGCCAAACCCCTGTACACCTCCTTGCCACCCCAAAATGCATTTCCGCCCCCCACGTTTATGCCCCCGGTGCAAGCCAGCCTCCCGGGGCTGAGACCCTACCCCAGCCTCGACCAGATAAGCTTCTTGCCGCACATGGCCTACACGTACGCGGCAGGCGCGGCCAGCTTCGCCGAGATGCAGCAGAGGAGAAAATACCAGCGGAAGCCAGGGTTCCAGGTAAATAACGGACACTCTGTTTCATAAACCCTCAGGCCTTGTGTTTCTTTTTTCTATCCCTCTGGTGAGTGGCGCTCAGCTTCATTCAGACACTAATTAAAAGCCTCTCAGAGCGGGAGAGGGGAGCTCACCTCACGCCCAGCGGCGGATGAGGCAATGAAAGAGAACCGCGGTTCCTTGTGGTAGACGTCGATGCCTCTAGTGCCATACACTGTTTTTTTTTAGTGGTGACGGTTATGTTGCCAGTTCTTGAGTGGCTCATCCAAAATACCGAGAGCAGGAAAATGTCAAAGTGTCAGGTGTTCGGCGGTCTAGCGTAGATGCGCCTGTGGCGCCGCTGCTCTTTTTCCCATTTCAGGTGTGAGAAACATCAGAGACAATGAGAGTCAGTGAACCTTAGACATATCTCTTTATTTAATTTTGCTCCTTTTTTCCCCTATATTTCTACAGCGAGAAAAGCTGAAATGAGCTTGAGCATAAAGATTAATAATGCACACTCCCCATGTTCATTACAGCTCAGCGCTGAGGGCTGTTTAACATCGGGGAAACCATTCTGATAAAAAAGTATTAATAATGTTTCCTATTCTAAGTTATTAAATTAGATTTTAAAAATACAGCTAAGGGCATTTAGCTCAAATTGATTGCGGAACGATAGCACAGAGCTTTTTAAAAGAGAGTGTGCAGAAGTATTGTCAGTCCAGAGCCGGCTGTCCTTAATGAGGGCATCGTCGCTGCAGTTTTGGCCATTTTGTGCCCCTCTTGATTTAATCATTACCGTTTGAAATTAGAGGACTGTGGCAATATTCCCTACTAAGACTCTCTCCTTATTGTTATTAGCTTCTAATGTAATAATATTTTTTTCCCCATTAATTTAAGTTTAAGCCTATCGGGGTAATCTCTGCTCAGATAAATACTGCGCTAACACCCTTTCATGTATGAAATTAAACCAAATTCGAATGCAAATATATGGAATAAGGTGTGATTAAGAAGAGAGAAAGGCCTCATTTGTAATATCCTGCCTTTACATGCTTTTTTCAGGTCGCAAACATTTTAATGTTTAATTCGTATAAGACTACTACTCCAGTTTTAGCTGAGAAATACATATCTTATTCATATTTACATGCTAAATTTTAATCTCTTTATGTAAAAAAATATAGAAAATCATGAAATACATAAATAGATTAAACAAGCAAGTTCTGTGTTGATCCATTCTGTCATTTACAATGTATTGTCTATTTTATCTGGGTGTATAATAGATTTAAACATACAGTTTAATACGAACAGTTTTCATTACAAATAATCATTAAAAATATGAATAAATTATATCATTAGATTATGTTGTTTTTAATATATTAGATTTTGAATTGTAATTGATCATAATCGTAAGTAATTGTTTCGGACAACTATGTTTGTTTTATTCTAATGCTTATTAATTTGTGATTTGTTATTTTTATTATCGTTGCACTGTAGAGTGAACCGCTTTGTGTGATGACAATAGAAATGATACTAAACTCAAGGAGCTAACGATCGCCGTCTCTTTCCAGAGCGAGCTTCTCGACGGGCCGGCAGATTATCTGAGCAGTCTAGATGATATGGCCGACCCCGAGGCCTGTCTGTCCAGGAAGAAGATTAAGAAAACAGAAAGTGGTATGTACGCGTGTGACCTTTGCGACAAAACATTCCAGAAGAGCAGTTCCCTCCTCAGACACAAATATGAACACACAGGTATATATACTGTTCTAGACACCATCATTTAATAACTGTCTGTCTAACTCCAGAATATTCACGCTGCTTCTTGCTTTCTTCTTTCGCTCTGTCTTTTTCCACTACCTTAATCATGTTTTCTTTTTTCCTTTTTTAGTAAAAACCAACATGTTTCTCTCCTGTTGACAGTCAGTGAGAGGATTTGTAAATGTAATTAATGTGGCAAAAACATGACACTGACATTGCACTAAATTAAGAAAATAATTAAGCAAAATTAAACAGAAAAAAAACAAACAAACAAGAAGCTGGACTGAATAATCTCTGGAATTGTCTGGGAGTGAACGGGAGCATGAACCTTTGACCTTTACACTGTTAGTAGAGGCTACATTCACACCACACATTTATTTAATTAGACTTTATTTTGGATGACTGTATGAACAGGAAAAATTGCATTTATATGTGAAAATAAATGGGCAACATTTTTGCTAAATGACTTCAATGTGAAATTTTTAGGTTGTAAATGTTTGTTTTTTTTACTCTTTTTTTTATGACAGTCTAACTTAACAGTCGTCATAACGGCATGCTTGATTTACCCTTGAAATGAATACAATAGTGTATTCACTATGTTAATTATTACACTGAAAAATGCAGCAATATTTGGATTTGTATTTGGATTAATATTATGAACACTGACCAATCAGCTGTAAGCTTGAGGCTACGCTTTCCTTGAAATTAGTCATTTTCAGCAGACATCCATTTGTATAAAAATGTATTTAAAAATAATTATACAGAATGTTTGTGCATATACATATAAAACTGCATAGGGTTAAAAACACAAGATTATTTAAATTAAAAAAGGAATAGACCAGAAACATCAATAATTACATTTCCAGAATAAAATTAATTCCACACATATAAGGTTTTATTAATAAAATAATTGTTTTCCAGATGGATTGGAGAAAAAAGTGGCTGGAGCAGCTCTACAGCTCTTCAGAAATACAAACGGAGCGTCTGTCAGCTGAAAGCAACTCTAGACAGCTTCATTGATTATAATGCATTTTGATGTGCAACTCATGCCGGCTGTAGACATGGAGCTTAAGGTCACATTCTATTCCAGAGACCAGCCAGTGTGAATAAAAGAGTAAAATAAAAGTGAATTAAAGGAGGAGAGTAACTGCGCACACACACACACACACACACACACACACACACGCACACAGTTTCTTTCTCTTGATTGCATCACCATTTACAGTCAGTCTGGAAGGACATGGGAATTAATCCACTGACGTGAATACAACGTTTTAATTTCCCTGTCTCTCTCTTGTCTTTGTGATGTCTCTCTCTGTCTCTCTCTCTCTCTCTCTAAATGTAAAGTTCTGACTAGGACTGATATTATAGTTTATCAGTGTAAATGTGAAGTTCAAGACCAGGCAATACATCACAAACAATTATATCTCAATATTTTGAGTTTTTTTTAATATATTTAAGTATTGGTTTTTCAATCAGAGAAATCATTATTTTAACCTAAGGATGTATTTTAAATATTTAATGCAAGCAGTACATTTCTGAAAAATTTTGCTAAAATAATTAATGCATGATTTCTCACTGTAAAAAATAAAGCAGCATATATATTCACTTTAATTTATATACACCAGTATAACAATTTTTAGTATTACGGCGCAGTATTTACATTATGTATTTTTAATAAATTATTTAATATATGAAAAATGCAACAGGGGTGTCTTGAATCAGTTCACTTAAAATAAGTGAAATTCAAATAAATAATTAATATTTCATATATTTAAAGAACATTAAATGTCAAATATGAAGTGCATTAAAACAAACACAGTATCCACAATGTTGCTTAAATTTATATTGCCTTCAAAATGATCACAAATAATCACAACCTGCACATAAATTTTTAAATGTTAATGTAATGTATAGAAATTAACGTTTTTATTAAGTATTTATTAACAATGTTTACCCCTACATTTGATTTTCAGGGGCAAAAAATAAATGAATAAATAACAAAAAAAAATACAGAGCATGGTGCATGTCAGCTGTGAATCAATTAATTTAAAAAAACTAAACTATTTGACTTATTACAAAAGCAGTATTTGAATAATTATGTATGTTCATTTTACAATCAGCACATAGAAGTGATGCACAGATATTATATCAGGTAAACATTAAGCTAGAACACATTTTGCATAACTGTCCAGTGATCTGTTCAATTATATAGCTTCATATAGGTTCATGAAAAAAATCACTTCATATTATGTGCATATTGAACATCAGTCACCTCTGAGAGCGTGAATACAGATATCTGACAGCTACAGGACACTCCACTGGCCTAGAGGAGAGTATGATGGAATATAGCAAATATTACATAAAACCCCAGCAATTAAATATCTGTGGCATTTGTCACTTTTGTCTCGTGCACCTGACCGCAGCGTCTCCCCTCGCTCTTTCCCTCTTTCATTCATGCCATCCCTCTCTTTCAGCTCTTGTCTTTTCTCATGACACGTCACCTCATGCGACAGGACAGAAAAAGAGTTACGCAGCAGGAATCCGCCAGCGCATTTCACTCTATTTGTTTGTTCCTGCGCTCCAGCTCTGTGTGTTTGTTTGGTTTGCGCTGGTTTATTTATGTTGCAGTGTTGTAGCGCTTGGGCCCTGCGCTGCCTCACCGCTTCACGCTTCACTTCTGTGAGGGAATGTTACAGAGTAAATACACAAACGAGACGGCGGCGCGTCAAGCAGAACCAGAGAAGGCAAACATTCATAACACTGGATTATTTTGGCTCGTTTTCATCGGAACCCTTTTATTTGGTGTTTATTTTGGTTAGCGTGCGAGATCTGCTGTGTGTTTGTGAGGAGTGCATATTCGCTCGCTCACCGCGTGCAATCTGTCGTTGTGTGTTTCCGCAGGTAAACGGCCGCACCAGTGTCAGATCTGCAAGAAAGCGTTTAAACACAAGCATCATCTGATTGAACACAGCCGCCTGCACTCCGGAGAGAAGCCCTACCAGTGCGACAAATGCGGAAAGCGCTTCTCGCACTCTGGCTCGTACTCGCAGCACATGAACCACAGATACTCGTACTGCAAGAGAGAGGCGGAGGAGCGTGAGGCGGCCGAGCGAGAAGCCCGAGAGAAGGGTCACCTGGAGCCCACGGAGCTGCTGCTAAACCGGGCGTACCTGCAGAGCATCGCTCCACCCGGATACCCAGAGCATACACCAGAGCCTATCCTCAGGGACGGCCTGAACGGGAGCATTCGGGAGCGACTCAAGGAGGTGGAAGGAGCGTTCGTGAAGATGGGCCGGCGAGACGAGGAGGAAGAGGAGGAGGAAGAGGAGAGCGAAAACAAAAGCATGGACACCGACGTGGACACCATGAGGGACGAGGAGGAAAACGGCGAGCACTCGATGGACGAGAGCTCCGTGGACGGCAAAACCGAATCCAAATGGGATCCCGAGGATGTGGTGTAGCCGCTCACTCGGGGGACGGGTCGTCTGCGAAGCTGCATTATGCAAAAATAAAAAAAAAAGGAAAATAAAATAAAATAAATGAAGTTTTAAAAATTTGTACAGTATTAAGGCCTAACGTATGTGTGGTGCTACCATCCTATGTGTTCCATAGTATTTATAGCACAAACTAGTAACTTGTACAAAAATTGCACTCTGCTTCTATAATCACTACGAGAATAATGAAATTATTTGCTGATGTATATTTATACAGTGTTAAAAAGGGGTGCAGGGGATCAGTATTTAATGCGTTTTTTCTGCCCTCGCCACACACTCTTTTAGGCCGAATTCACGTGAAGGACCGTAACAGTATTCCATTTGCTTTGACGATTTCGAGTCTTAAAGAGACTGTTTGGAGAGAGAACGATCATTCGACCGGGACAGACGACGGATGGACTGAGCCTTTGGAAGGTTGTTGCCTTATATGCAAACTTGTTAATCAGCGCGTTTCTAAAGTGCCAACCCTGTTCAGTATTACAGGAGAGCGACGCGAGCCGTCTCTCTCACTCGCTCTCTCTCTCTCCGATCAGCTCTTTAGTTTACAACGACGTTTGTGCAATTTCGTTCTCAGTATTACACCAAACCGTTTTGCAATGACAGAATTGCATCCTTTTATTTGTAGGTTTAAATGACATCTTATTTATGTGACCCATTTTGTATCTCCTGATTTTATTTATTTCATACTGTACAGTACAGTATTATAGTTCTTCAATAAATAGATCTATTTTAGTAAAATGGAAGCTGGAGTCGATGAGAGCATTTATTTTGTTTTGAAACATTAATTGTGAAATGCAAATTTTCGATTTCATTTCAGTTCATTTTTTGGTTGTTCTATTATTTTTTTCCAGTTTCTGGAAATTCCAAAATTTGGGAACTTTTGATAC